TGAGAATACACCCTGGAGGAGGCAACCAGTGGTTTCTTCAACAAGCCAGGAAGAACCTTTTGTATCGCCAAGCCATGCAGACACTTGATCTTTGTGTAACTATTTACAGTCAAAGTTTTCGGCATTCTGGCTTATGTGCATTTCCAGACAGTTTCCAAGGGAACAAGGAAATTCAATCCTGTGTTCTTTTCCAGTTGAAGGAATTTCCTTTTTTTTTTTTTTAACATTTTATTTATTTTATTTATTTATTTTACATACCAACCACAGATTCCCCTATCTTCCCTCCTCTCATTCTCCAGGCTTCCCCTCCTAGACCTGCTCTGTCTAATACAGAAGACACTAGACACTTGTGGCTTTTGTGCATTTCAAATGTGACTGAACCATATTGGAGAGGCCAGATCTCAAAGACTTCAAACAAAAAGACTTCATCATATTTTCTCCATTAGATATTGGCATATTAATTTTTTAGTATTTTGTTTGTTTGTTTGTTTTTTTGGTTTTTTGAGACAGGGTTTCTCTGTGTAGCTTTGCGCCTTTCCTGGGACTCACTTGGTAGCCCAGGCTGGCTTCGAACTCACAGAGATCCGCCTGGCTCTGCCTCCCGAGTGCTGGGATTAAAGGCGTGCACCACCACCGCCCGGCCTTTTTTAGTATTTTGTGTTAAATAATGTATATTATTAAAGTTAATCATGTCCTCTTCTTTTTATTTTTAAGTGTGCCTATCAGAATATTTTAAATTGCATGTGTAGTGTGCATTCTATTTGTACTGGGCAGTATTGCTGTTGATTAATGTTTATTTCTAATTTGTGTGTGTGGGGGGGTGCATGTATGTGTCCATGTGGGTGTATGCAATGTGCATGTGGGTGCAGGTCCATGTATGTGCATGTGGGTGTACAAGGAGGCCAGAGGTTGACATCAGATTTGCTCTTCAATTACTCTCCATCTTATGGGATACATCATCCCTCATTGAAACTGGAACTCACTGGGCTGGCTGCCTGGCTGGCCAATGAGCTCCATGGATCCATCTGTTTCCCCTATCTCCCAAGCTGGAGGGTTATAGTTGCAGCCCATCCTCATTCGTTTGGCAATGTGTTTCTCAAGGTTTGGTGTGGTGATATTTTATTTGTGCTGAAATGTGGTGATATTTTATTTGTATGTTAATAAATAAAACATGCCTGGAGATCAAGGGAAAAAAGGCCAGCCATTTTTAAGTAAACATAGAAGTCAGGCAGTGGCCTTAATCCAATCACATGGCAGTCAGGGTCTCTGTGTGTTCAAGGACATGCTAGGGAACAGCCAAGAGTGGTGACACACGCCTTAAATCTCAGTACCAACCATAGAGACCTGGAGGTCTGTACAGGCAGGCAGTTACAAGGAAGTGAGGTAGCTGAGCTAAGAGCCAATGAGAGGGCAGAAAAGCAAGGCAATAAAGGTGCAGGTTAGACAGGAAGTAGTCACATTTTGGAGGGGATAGAGCTGGTGAGGTAAGGTGGTTGGTGGCTCTTACTATTTCCCCAATCTCTAAGGCTTTCACCCCTATATTTGGCTCTGTGTTTCTTATTTAATAAGGCCATTTAGAAAATTGGCTACAGCTTGGCCCTTCTGACCGAAAGCATCTGAGTACTTGTTAGATATACAAAGAGCCCCACCCAAACCCTAACTCTAGGTTGGGCCTTCTGAAGCTGTGAACATGTTCCGCATCAGTATTCTGTAGCTGATGGACAGGAATGCCATCAATCCTCAGCATAAATAAGATATTGTGCTCTGGAAGAGGGCTGCTTGAAGGATGAGAATATGGGATGGAGTACAATAAGTTGGTAGTCAGGCCCCCTCTACCGTTTGATTTAAAATTAATATCTTGATCTATTTTGTTGGTATAACCCAATGCCTGAATCTGAGTGATTTATAAGAATAGATGTTTATGTAAAGTACAGTTATAGGGGTCCAAAACCATGGTGTTCAGCTTCTGCAGAGCCACATGGCAGTTCAACTCCTAATGGGAAAACAGAAAGGAGAAGTAGACCCATGGGAAATGGTGCATATGCAAGACAAAACAAGGGACGGTGAAAGGCTCCTTTATTCCCTTATGGGAAGTGCAGTAATCCCTTCATGTGCATGAATCTCTCATGATATCAAATCCTCTTATAGGCCCCACCACCTCTCACCACCATTACAATGGGGACCAAGCCTGAACACCAGTTTGAGTAGAAACAAACCATATCAAAACCATAGCAGAAGGTCTGGAGAAATGGCTCTCTGTGGTTGAGAGTGCTTGCTATGTGACCACGAGGGCTTCAGCTTGGAACCCAGCATTCTCAAGAAGTCAGGCATGGTTTCCACCATAATCAGAACCCCAGGACTTGAGGATTGCTGTGGCTGGAGGGCAAAAAGCCTAGCTGAAAAACTTGACCTTGAGATTCAGGTAGAGACCCTGACTTGAATAAAAAAGGCCTAGAGTGATAGAGGAAGATGCCCATTATTTTCCTCTGGACAGTGCTCACAAGTGCGTGCACACATACACACACACACACACACACACACACACACACACACACACACAGCACAGAGACTGAGAAATGCAGCCTTATAAACTAACGTTTATTGAGGTTGATTCTCTATCCTCCCAATATCCTTTGTGGTAGACATTCTTATGAAGGTGAATTCACTAGTTCAAGATCATGCTTCTGTAATGAGCATGAGTCAGGGTGTCATACATTCTCTTGCACAGTGTCTGTCGCTTGTCTCAGCTAACTAGTAACCTGAAGCATTTCCATGCTAGCAATTCCTGACTTCCATGAAAACTACCTGGGACGCTTAAAAACACAATCCTGCCTTGAGTATCACTAGCTACAGATCTCAATTTCATTAGTTCCACATGTTGTCTTGGTGTGCATAGAAGCTCCCAGGACTTTCAAAACAATTCCCACTGGACAGATGAAGAGAATCCTGGGAAATACCTGAACAAGCTGGCAACAGCTAAACACAGGCTCTGTGAGTGAAGCCAATGTGCAGGAGCTCCCTGGATATCATTTGAAAAGGCACATTTGAAGGTAATCCTTCTGGCTGGGCCTTGCTCTTCTGCAGTCTCTCAGGAAAGGTGATGCTATCAGTTCAGGAGTCAGATTTTGAGCAGTTTCACTTAGATGCCCTGAGCCAGGTGAGGTCCCTGGTCCTAAATGAGTTGCAGCTTCTCGGGCTGTGTTGTCAGGGCTGGACAGTTTATTCTGTTGTGTGTAGACCTGGATTAGGGAATCCTGGAGAATCCAAGCTAATTCCCTTGGCATCCTCCAAGCTAAATCCTTGGATTTAGGACAACGTCCTTGAAGGAATTGGAGCTCCAGGGATGTGGAGGAAGATTCCCCAAAGCTTATAGAAAACCAAACAGCCCAAATCCTACAGCCAGACTCCAGAAACAGAAGTCTCTAATGGCTTGATTTCTTCTCCAACCTACCACTTTCCTCTCCCCTAAGCTCCATCTTGGGGATGGAAGTCTTAGGAGTCACCCTTTCCAACTCCTGTTTGAGCTGCCATCCTTGGTGGGGAAATGTCTTTTTGTATGCTGTGAAAATATGTTGCTCTGATTGGTAGGACAATAAGCGGCTTTGCCCTGTCCCCTGGGCACAACTTTCTTGATCTTTTGGGAGAGTCAGACAAAAGATTCTAGCCTTCTATGCACCTATCCCAATGGCATCTTGAATAGGTTCCTCAGGCTGTCTTCCTTGAAACTGAATGTCATGACATGTGCGTGGTGGCACATACGTGGGCCTAGGATGAACCAAGTTCCGATCTTTGGAGAGATGTAGACCAGATCTTTGTTCTACTTTGATTTTTACTAATTTCACTCTCTCTCTGTGCCTCTTTCCCTGCATCCAAAGAGCCAGGCCTCCTCCTTTCACAGCCTGTAGGGGGAGGGGGGAGGGGGAGAGAGGAGAGGTAGGGGGAAGGGGGAGGGGGAGGGGAAGGGGGAGGGAAGACACAGGGTACCAGTGGATGCCTAAGCACCTAGCAACATCCTCCACACTCAGCTTCCTTGCTAACAGACACCACCCACGTGTGCCTTACCGGTACTGAGAGAACAGAAACTGAAGCCTAATTTTTGTGGACTCCAGGTTTATCTTTAGATACGTTCCTATCTGTTCTCCCAGATAAATTCAGCGATGAGAGCTCCGGAGCCCGCCTCCAGCTTGCAACCCAACTTCCCCAGCCGGTTCCGGCCCATCAAATTGGGAAATGAGGTGATCCATCAGCCTGCATCTCCCAGGAGTGTCTCTGGCTGGGAGCGCCAGGCAGGAGGCGTGCCCCATCTGTGCGCTTAGGCAAAGTCACCCGGGAATAGCAGGGAGATAGCTGCGGGGCTCTGGACCTCTGGGTGACCTGCGTTGGTATGCATAGCTGCCTGTGGTTTCATTGGTCTGGGATCCAAGGGCAGTTTGACTTCATTTGAGACAGGGGGGCTGTAGACAGCTACCAAACATCCACAGCCTAGGATTTTCATCAGAAGGGTAGTGGGCTCGGGAAATTCTGGGGAGAAAACAGATTTGAGCCTGGAGACTGCACTGACAGATGCCCATCCTGGGCTGGAGGGCTGAAGAAAACCTCTGACAGACTCAGTTCTCCTGGCAGGGGCCTCGGGAGTTTTACAGTCTAAGGAAAGCCTGAGAAGTTGTTAACTTCGCTTTTAAATTTAAAAAAAAAAAAATCAAACTAGCAGTAAACACACAGGGAAAACCAAATCAAAACCGCGATGTGTTCATAGCCATGTGTACTAATTTATATATAAAATGTCAAGGATATATGGAGAATAACTCCTTGGTTTGTTTCAAGTGTGAGAGCCCAGAGTTATAATCTGCTCCATCCAGAAGGGGCGAGTCCGGGTGGATAAGTTGCTCTTTGGCGGGTCTGCAGGAACGCAGTCCCCCATCCTGCAGTAGGGCAGGGCGGCACACCCAGAGAACTGTGCATAGATCAGCTGCTCAGAGCCCTCTGGGCTCTGCAGTCTCTGAGCTCAGGAGCTGCCTCTGAGCTGAAGACTTTTTGATCAAAGACAGTCAGTCCCCTGGTTTGTCCCTGGACACCCTTCTTAAAGTGGAAGACTGGATTTTTCTTCTAGCTGGAATGCCCCCCACCCCAACTCCATACCTTATCCCCAGATTTCCAGAAAAGGAGTGAAGCAGAACAACACCTAACGTCGGGCCACCTGATTCTGTGCTTCCACCCCCACCCTGGCTCCTGGCGCGCTTTTAGGCCCTCTCGGTTTCCACGTCTTTGAGCAGAAACCATCGTCTGTTTTGAAACCCTTACTTGGAGCCCGGAGTGCTACAAAAATCCAAGCACCGTCAGGATCTCAAGCGCCTCTGGCATTGGAGTTCTTACCTGGACCTGGATGGCTGGGGCAGTTTCATTGAGGTGAGGAGGCAAGGAGCTGAGGGTTTGGGGTGGGGGAGGAAAGGAGAAGTGAAATCTTTGTAACTTGATCTCTCTCCTACTTCAATACTTTAAGGCTTACTCTGGCTCCTGTTCACCTACCCCAGGCAGAACAGGGAACCTAAGGAACCAAGAGCAGAGAGCTAAGAAGGTTCATTCCCTTTTCTCCCAGATCTATTTGTTTGGCAAGTCTTCCTGGGGTATAAAGGACTGTAGAGAAGCCAACAATAAGATGCTACGAGCCACGGTCTTTCGCAGGCTCAGGACTTCATCAGCTTAGGGTAAAGGCATCAAAACTACAGGCTATAGATTGTGTGTGTGTGTGTGTGTGTGTGTGTGTGTGTGTGTGTGTGTGACATATATTACATATTACACCCCAGCTGCTGGGATTGAATGGCTACTAGAGAACAAAAGGTTTCTGTCTCCACTGTCGTCCTCCCTCCCAAATGCCATTATTGACTCTAGCCTAGCTTCAAGGTAATAGGAAAATAATTTCAGATAAGACAATTAAGAGTAACTAAAATGACTAGATTCTCTAGGGACTGATACCTCCTAAAAGAGATTGTAAGCACTGAAATGATCTCAGAAGTCAGGTAACAAATTCTTTTAAATGAATCTCAGATTGCCTAATCTTACTTAGGTCCCTAATGTGGCTATTTTTTGGAGAGATATCTTAAAGGATGAAACAACAAAAATCACAAACTCCTGTATGTCTTGTTTTAACTTTACCCCAATTCAGCAAAGTTTCCCTTGCTGCTAAGAAGCAGTGAGAATGTGCTCCATGGCCTAAGACCTTACACACTGAAGCAGTGTAGACTGTACTCCTTGGGCTAAGACCTTACACGGATGGTACCTGAAGCCCCACCTAATCAACTAAAACCTAGCCAAAACACTTACCCAGTGACTGGTACAAAGATGAAAATTGTTCCTTTGCTTGAGTTCATTGCTAGGATTTGCATGCTCATGTCTCTTCTCTTCAACCCTCCATGGTGAAGCCATTTGTTTTAAATGAACTCATATGACATTTCTTCAGGTCTTGCTAGGAACACAGCCAATGAAAGGGCCATTATTTTTATTGTTTCTTTCAATGATTGCCCTCTTTGTAAAAACAGCTTTTGTTGAAATAAATGTGGGAAGGATCAACGAACTTAAAGGATAAAGGCAATCACACCAAGACCAGGAAAGCTGAGTGCAGCTCAAACCCAATCTCTATTTCCAGATCCTTTCAAAATACCATGGTGTTTGACAGAGTATGAACAAAATATTCTGATAAAAACTTATAATTTGGTCCTTATCTCCACTTGTTTTCTGTCCTAGGAAGGATGTGAGGTTTGTAATGATTGATGTTGTGAGATAATTGTTCTGTGATGAGCTAAACAAAAGAAAGGCTTGGGTGAGAGTATTTCTAGCTTAATATGTGTGTGAGACTAGTTCAGTTTAGTTTAATCTGCTTCTGTGATTCATGTTGTGTTTTTGTGTCCACTTGGCTGGTATGACATTAGTGTTGTACAGCAGAATCATTTTTACATTTCACTGTAAGGTGGATAGAAATCTCAATACCCAAATTTCAGCTGGAACAAAGACCAGCCTTTCCTTTGTGAAGCACATAAACATGATTTTGTAAAAATTAATGTTTACTAATTTTCATAATTTTGTCACGATTCAATGCTGGTCAATTTTAGAGATGCAGCAAGTTGGCAACTTTAATTTTATGTGGAACAAGTTTTGTAGATGTCATTGTTTGCATATATATGTACACAGATTGTCAGAGAAACAATGCAGAGAGTCACTGTACACAAAACCCTATGGATTTGAGTCCTAATTTCTTTTTATTGCAAATTCATGAACACGAAAACATGAAGAGTTACATCTTTGTATTGTTTGCTTACATGAAGTTATACTCTCATCTGCATAGCCTTGCTTTGTCTTCTGTCAAGACTCTTCTTTCCCAAGAGGCTCCTCCCCCTTTTTTGTCATTTACAGCCTTTCTTCTCATGGATGGCTGCCTTCTTCTCTTTGCTCCAAAATATTACTGCACACCCATTAATGCCACCCCCATCATATTTTCACATGTGATCTTATTCTCTCCCACCTAAACTGGAGAGGTATTTCCACCACTTGGATGATGTAGTGGTTGTCAGATGGCAGGAGAGTCACAGAAACTAATACAATGAGTAAGTATATGAATTGGAGTGAGTCCATCAAAGGACCCAGAAGACCTACTGGAAATTATAAACCTAGTGTGTTTGAATTATACTTATACCTGACATTTAGTGTTGGCCAGCAGTAGCAATGAGTTTGAAAATAGACACATCCGTTAGCTATAAGAGTGCACACATTTACACCATTTCTCCTACCTTTTCGCACTCCAGGGGTGAGACATGGATCAAATTTATTCTGGAGACCTTTGTTAATATCTTTATTTATGGGTATAGATGTTTTGTCTACATGGATGTCTATGTACCATGTATATGCCATGGAAATGAGAAAATGGCATCCTGTCCCTTGGGACTGGAGTCACAGATGGTTGTGAGCTGCCATGTGGATGCCTAGAATAGAACTGGGTCCTCTAGAAGAGCAGCCAGTGCTCTTAACCACTACTACGTTATCTTTCCAGCCCCATTTGTCAATATCTCAAAGTATGATTTATTGCTAAATTTTCTTTTGTCACTTTTCTGGTTACGGTGAAGACCTAAATATATTTTCTTTAAGACGATTAAACAGTTGTTAGATTAAACATATTTGCAAGTTTGAGATTTAATAATCCAATTTGGGTTGCAAATAAGAATCATCAGTGATAAGCTGAATGACTTTCTAGATATTTATGTGTGTTTATCATGTTTAAGATCAAACACACACACAAACACACACACACACACACACACACACACACACACACACACTGTATTAATTATTCTTTGAAGGTGTAGATACTCCCAGGAGGAAAAAATTAAAACTGTTCCTTCCATTTTCCCCTTTCAACTTGTTTAAATACTCTTTGGTGTCAACAAAGAATCATTTCTATCAGGAATGAAAAGGAATGGAAAGAAATAATTATCAAAGAACCACATTGCACAAATTGTGCAGAATGGTTAAGATCATTGGTCAAGAATATTTCACATCTATTATCTTATTATGAAAGGAGACCATTGTGAATGAATTTAGTTTATTTTTTAACAATTCATATCTGCAATAATGCACCATGAAAGAAATCACTGTAATCCTTAACGGGTCTTTCTCCTGCTTTTATATTGCTATTTGTTTATCTCAACTATACACAATGCAAGTAGTTGGTACTCAGTTAAAGTTTATGAATGGCTTCAATCTGTATTTTATTTTGAATAGTTTTTAAATTCAGTGACTCAATTGACCTAACCAACCATCCCTTAAATCAATGGTTCTCAACCTGTGAGTCATGACCCTTCAGGGGATTGAAGGACCCTTTCATGGGGGTCTCCTAAGACCATTGAAAAACACAGATATTTACATTATAAATATGTTCAGAACAGTAGCAAAATTACAATTATGAAATAGTAACAAAAATAATTTTATGGTCAAGGGTCACCACAAAATGAGAACTGTAATAATGGGTCACAGCATTAGGAAGGTTGAGAACCACTGCCTTAAATGTTACAATTTTTTTAGACAAGAAAAAAATCATTCTCTAAAAGGTCACAAATGTAAGTACAACATACTTCATAAATCTATCTTTTCTTTCCTTATTAAAGTAGGAGGAGGAGGAGGGAGGGAGGGAGAAAGGGAGAAAGAGAGAGAGACAAACATAGACACAGACACACAAGACACACAGAGAGGATGAATGCTTCCTTGCTTTATAAGTTTTACAGTATCACAGGAAAATAAATGTGATATAATCATACTAACATAACAAGATATATGTTATATATACGATAAGAATTGAAGTCATATTAGTCACAATTTGCCTTCATTTTTGTGTATGTAATCATTTATATGACTTGTGAATTTTTTGATGAAATACCAAGATGCAGATATATACAAAAAGATATAAAGCTTCAGTATTAATTCAAGTGTTACTTTATAATTTGAGCTGCTAGTGATCTAACTCCTGTATTTTTTTTTTTTGGAGAAATTAAATGCAACCAAATATATTGACAGTTTGAAGCAAACACTATGTCAGAATATGTCTATACTTAAATCAGCACTTTATACATGTCAAGAATGTGGATTATTGATATTTTTAGGTTTCAGGTTTCAATCTGTGTGTTATTTAATAAAGATTTGTAATGGCGATCACAATGTGCTGTGTTTAGAGTCTAAGTGTTATGTAAAGAGAAATGAATATGATCCCTATAAAGTTAAAACACGTGATTTTTTTTCTATTTTAATTCTAACTGGCCCTATGACATTTGAGAAGGTCATTTAATTTCGCTGTGTTTCACATTGGGGTAAGTATAACAATACCTCTATTTTCCCTTGCTCAGCTTCTAACGTCATGGGGCAGTTCAAGCTGACAACATAGGTAAAAATGCTTTGTAGTTTGTCCTTTAACATGACATTGGTGATGACATATATCTAAGGTGATTATTATTTGTTGACCTAACACAATATCCTCTAATAAAAGAAATATTTGGACATCATTACAATTAACGAGGGCACCATGTCTACTCCCAGAAGAGGTGCATTCTGATTTATGAGCAAGAATTAAAAAATTCAGCAAACTACCAAAAGCAAATAAAGGAATTATCCAGCAATGTTTGCCTTTCTGCTCCAGTAGAAGCTTTAGAGTAATACCCGTGTGTTTTCATTACATAACTATGGGTCTTCACCTACAGGATAGTTCTAAAATTTCTGTCCTACCAGACCCCAGATAACCCTGTATGCTCAAGAGCTTCGGGTTTATTTGCAACCCTCTTAACAAAGTGATCACAACTTAATGATCGAGGCTAGCTCAGGCCACAGGCACTCAGAGAGTGGGATTCAGGAGCCACTCGGTCCACAAGGATATACTGCATTGTTTGCTTCCCCTTTTGAGGAGGTGTCATTTTAAACTTAGAATCTCTTGAGGGAACAGAGAAGATGTCTCTGAAAGTCAGAAACTGTTGCCATAGCATTTTCCATCTCTGTTCCTGCCTACCCTCCTTCTCCAAGGCAGGAACAATCTGAGCTCTGTCACTTTCTGTTAGGAGCAGATAGATGTCTCTCCAGGATCCAGGGTTCCAGTGCTGTTATATCTACACTACATACTGACTGTACCTGGTGGGAGGGTTTAGTAAGTCCGAGGGTGGCATTAAGTTTCCTAGGACAGACTCATCTTTGCAGATACCATTGCAGAACAGAAAACAGACCTAGAGAGACATTTCCTCCCACACACCATCCCAATCCCATTGGCCCTTAAGACAGCCAAATTACAAGTCCTGAAGCACAACCTCATCATTTCCAGCACTCTCGGCGTGGACAGCTCCTGCATTCTGGGCGCTTCCTCTGCAGTGAGCCGCGGGAGAGCCACAGAGCCCGGCGCAGCACGCGACTGACCCGCGCTCGCTCCTCCCTGTCCGCGCTCCCCCCCACCCCGCCTTAGATCACTCTACCGGGCACTTTGAGGGATTTCCTCCCGGGGCGGCTTTTGCAGCAGCAACACATCTGCCTGGTTGGCGGCAACTGCGAGCATGGATCTCCGAGGAAGAACCCTTCTCAGTGGAGACAGACTTCGGATTCTCCTGATGCTCTTCCGTGAGTAGCGTCTGGGGACCAGGAATGCGGGTTGCACTCTGCAGAGAATCCAATCCACAGAGTAAACCTAGTAGCTTTAGGTTTAAAACTGGCCTTTATGTGTTGTGGTTATTTGGGGTTGGCGGTGGGGATGACCCATCGGTGTCTTCTGAGAACTCCCCGAGAGCCACACACCTGTGTGGCATCACCCAGATAGAGCGCGCTACACAGACCATACTCACGATGGGGAGGGGAGGGCATGGCACTGGCAGGAAAGATTAATCCCCCAAGTGTGTTTTTTTAAAAGCCCAATCGTATTGTAAGTAAGAATTTAATTTTGTTTTAGATCCTGTTTTCATTATAAATCAGAGGCAGTGAATCTGAATTTGGTAACGCTGAGTTAGAGAAATGGCTTGCGGAGCACACAGCTTCTAACTGGGAACTTTGCCACTCCAAAGCCTGCAGAGAACTGTCTCCCGTTGTCCTAAAGCCGCGGGCTAGTTGAGCCTGAAATCGATGGGATTGCTTTGCTTGCTCCGCAGATGCAATGGCCCAAACCGTGGCAGAACAAGAAGTGGAAAATCTTTCGGGCCTTTCCACGAACCCCGGGAAAGACATATTTGTGGTGCGGGAAAATGGGACGACGTGTCTCATGGCAGAGTTTGCAGCCAAATTTATTGTACCTTATGATGTGTGGGCCAACAATTACGTGGATGTAAGGAACCTTTTTCCTCCCCAGCTTGCCCCTAGGGCTGCAGGGCCGAAGGGCACCCTCCCTTCAGGCCCTGCCAAGACCTCAGTTGCCCGCCTCTTCCCCCCAAATCCCTGCAGGCTGTTCCCGAATGCTGCATGGGGGTTCCAGCTTGCAACGCCTTCTGCTCGCCCTGCCTGCTTTAAAAGTAAACCCCCTCTCTACTCCCCTCCTGGAGGGGTGTGCACGTAAGAGTCTACCCGCATGTTACTGGACCCCCGGAGCGCGCGTGCACAGGAGCGCCCAAACCTGCAAGCTAGAGTTTGGACGCGCAGCCCTTCCCGATCTGCGCCAGGGCCCCAAGCGCTGAGGGGGCACGGGCGTGTGTGTTCCTAGCTGATCACAGAACAGGCTGAGATCGCCTTGACCAGGGGAGCTGAGGTGAATGGCCGCTGTGGCCACAACGAGTCGGAGCTGCAGGTGTTCTGGGTAGATCGCGCCTACACACTCAAAATGCTATTTGTAAAGGTAATTCGGTGCGGTGGACCAGAGGGATGGTGAAGCCAGCGTGGGTGCGCGCGGTAGTGGCCTCTGGGGTTTTCCATTACAAAGCAGTTGGAGCGGTTCACAGGAGCCTCCCCATCTTGGCAGGAAAGTCACAACACTTCCAAAGGACCAGAGGCGACTTGGAGGCTGAGCAAGGTGCAGTTTGTCTATGATACCTTAGAGAAGACTCACTTTAAAGACCCAGTGAGTGGTAAGTAGTCCAGTGGGGCTGGGAAAGCTTGGGCACAGGAGTAAGAGCAAGCCAGAAACATGCATCCTGTCTCTGGGGTTTGGGAACAGCTCTGGGATTTGTGCTCTGAGTACAAACCTAGCCAGGGCCTGCTTGTTCTCCAGGGTCAATGAGGTGGGAGGGTCTCTGTGTCTCGAGGAAAAGCCTGGACCAAAAATCCTTCAGAATCAAGCTGAAACATGACATTGCCATGGAAGGGGCACCAATGAGTTTTGCTATTTTATTTATTTATTTATTTATTTGCATCACAGATTGGTTTGCTCTCATGTATTAAACAATGCAAGAAGACACAGCGACAGGGTTGGGTGGGCTGCAGGATCTTTCTGTGCACATCCGCATAGCTCTCTGGGACTTTAACTGCAGCCCCCTCAGGGCAGAATTTGTATCTTGTATCTTAATTCATTAGCTTTTCCCACTTAGCCTCACCCTAGTCTTCCAAAAACATTCGAAGAAGAGCACCCACACCTGAAATAAAAACGTGCCTATCAGCAAGCACTATCAAAGACCAGAAATACATTTAAATGTATTTTAAAACAAAAGCAAAATTCACTGTCTCCATCATAAGGAGGCCTACCATCACTCAAGCTCTGCGTTGGAAAGGGATTTTTACTGAGGTTGCAAAAGAATGCTGGCATCATTTCTTCCTCTTTATGTTTTGATAATTGCAGTAAAACAATTATTTTTTTCCTTTCACCAAAATAATCTAGAATTTTTCATAGGATAAGAGGAGAAAGAGAAGGAATGAGAAAGAACAGCAAGCACGAGAAAGAAGAAAAAATGGAATGCCAACTGTGGAGAGCTGCATCACTGTTCTTTCTGTCTTTGGAATTACTGATTGAGGCTTTAGTCAAAAGGGTTTTGTTTTCAGACAGCACACTTCTTCCAAAATGGAATTCCAAATTAGTATCTAATGAGGACAGTCTCAGAAAGGATGGGGAGTTGGTCCTTCATCCCCACTTGGTGTCTTTCCTGGCGCTCCAGCCCTGGGACTGCAGCACCAATAGGAGGCATAGGTTCTGGGCTTAGCAGAGATCTACCTGGGCTAGGCCACATTCAGCCCAACTGCTACTTTGGTTTTCCCGCAGCTGGGAAGCACACAGCCAACTCTCATCACCTCGCTGCCTTGGTAACCCCAGCTGGGATGTCCTATGAATGTCAGGCTCAACAGTCCATTTCTCTGACCTCCAGTGATCCTCAGAAAACTGTCACCATGATTCTGTCTGCAGTGCACATCCAACCCTTTGACATCATCTCTGATTTTGTCTTCAGTGAAGGTAGGTTACACTGGTGTTAGGAAAGGGAGAGGGGCTGGTTTTAAAGATGGGCTCCCAGGATATTTTCACCAGCATTTCTTCTATGCTGCAAAGGCAATTTTCACAAGATGTAGAGGTTATAAAGTGAATGTGTCAACTTTCTGCAATACCCACCCTGTCCACGCTGCGCGTCCTCTCCCCTCCCCATTTCTTTATTCTCTCACTCACTCCTATGGGAGAAATTATGTCAAGGCAGTTTGATACTCTGTTTATTTCCCATGGGCAGATTCTAGTTTGTTTGAACTTTTACTTGGTTGGGGATTACCAAGTAAATAAAGGAATTACTTAAATGATCATAATATTGGAAGAGTCCCATTTGAGTCACCTGCCACCATTTCCCAAGCTATTTTTCATTCACCCAAACAAGCTTCCTCTCACCCTATACCCAACAGAATGCCTCCACCACCGCTAAATAATCATCCCCAGAGCATTTGAGAATTCTGAAGGTAAATTTTTCTTGAGAGAAAGGCCTGACTCTTCTGTGCACCTTCTCCTCCTTCTCTCCTTTTTTCCTCTCCCTACCTCACCTCCACCTGCTCTCTCACTCTCTCTTTCCATCTAGCTTTCCGTGGTGCTCTTGGATAGAATTCAGGCCCCCATCTTAATGCTTTTCCATTGTGCTGCATTCTAGGACCCAGGCCAGTTATTCATCTTGGCATTGGTTATTATTCATTTTGGCTTTATTAACATCTAACACAGTACTAGATCAGTTTAGGTGTCCAGGTAACTGACTAAATAATATCCTGATATTCAGTTACAGAGACTTTCATATGAGCCTATTTTAGGAGTAGAAACTAAGATCGAGGGGTCAGGATCCCAAAGTTTCAAATATTTACTTTTTATAGGAGCATTTCTAAAATGCAGCAGTGAGTATCTTTCTTGTGATGAAATAGTACATTTAATATGATACATTATGGTTGTTGAAGACCCAGGAACTCATTATGAGTACTCTGGACTATGTAGTATCCTTCCACAGAGTTATCATTACAAGCCCATTTGAGTTCCAGTGGGAATCTTTAGCGGTGTTCAGTGGCCTTGGCTGTCTGCTGGTCAATTGTTATTAACTCTCCCTTGTTTCTTGGCACTTCTGGTATTACAATTGTTGATTTTACTAGTTCTTCAACACTATCCCACTCAAATAAATACATTCTGGATCATTTCTAGGTTGTTGATCGTTGTCTATGGACTGAGAAATCACACCTGGTATATGTTTAAGTTTATTTGTATACAAAGTACAAACAACTACTAAATAAAGAGTAAAGCTCTTGACTATAAATCAGTGAAATTCATCGCATAGAATTAGGTACATATTTTGTTTAAAAAACAATTATTATCCATTTCATTTGTAGATGGGGAAAATTACTAGGCACACATGGAGACTTTAAGCACACATAATTTCCTAAATACAGACAGAATAGGCATAGACAATTTGCAGTATTACCCAGGCACTTCAGGCTGGTAATTAGTATAGTCTCCCTGTGTAGTGCCCCAGGCTCAGGCTTTAGTGCTCTTGGGAAGAGGTAGGCATCATTCAAAATCACTCACTGGATCTTGCACCTTTGTGTGGAAGATGTTCTTTTGTTCCTGGCGCCTCCTGCCTATGCTTCCTAGCATCTGCCCACAAATGTCTTGGGAGAGATTATTGTATTCCATTTAACGGAATTGGAAAGCTTCCTTTTGGATTGCCTTTTCAGGTTCTGGCACTGGGGCACCTAGGGGCTTCCAGTGTGTTCTCTCTCTCTCTCTCTCTCTCTCTCTCTCTCTCTCTCTCTCTCTCTCTCTCTCTCTCTCTGTACTGGATCTGCTAGAGGGGACAGTGTTTGGTCATATATCTACACAACCACTATGGTTGTTGTATGCACTTTCAGGTGTGTGTGTGTGTGTGTGTGTGTGTGTGTGTGTGTGTGTGTTTGAAAATGGCCAGGGCTTTGTTGTGAAAAGTCCATTTCTTGTGTCAGGAGGTTTTTACCTGATGGTCTTCACAGCTGCCTATTTAGTTGGCTATAGGAGATAAGCAAAGAAGGACCAGTGAAATGGGTAAGAGGACTGTCACTGGGGCTGAGAGCAGCCAGATGAGGGTTGACATCTTCATCACACATGTCCACTTAAATGCATTGGACTTAGCTGCATAACTGATCTTAATCACCAGCATAGCCTAATTTTAATGCACACAGAAATTGTGAATGGCAGTGAATATAGTTGTGATATTAATACGCAGAGTCTGCTTCTTGTAGACCCTGAGGTGGGGTCCCATATGCTAAGCTCCAGATGCTGCTGCTGATTTACAGAATCCTATAGAGGGCTGGTAGGATAAGAGGCTGAGACATACAACAAGCTTTGGTGAGTGGAGATGGATGAGGTTGTAGGAGATGGGAAGCTCTTTGGTTAACCCCATCTAGGGGGGAGAGACTCGTAATATGAAGATCAGCATCCATCTGGAGAGGAGCGGGGAGGAGGATGAGATTTCCTTGAGGAAAGAGGGCTGGCCATGTGTCTAGTGGCAGCAGTGTAGGAGTAGGACCATGCATAGCAGTGATTGGCCATATGAGGGGATATAGGCAAATGCTTTAGTGAAACCAGAAAAATTTGAGTGTATTGCAGTTCATGAATGTCTAAACCCAAGCCAACTTTTAATGCTATTTAAAGCAGTGAGATCAATCTTCATCTGTTTTGAGTGGTAGATGTCACACTGTGAGATGTACTGGTTACATGGACTATAAAATGGTATCAGTAATATTGGTAATGCATTAAAAATGATGATGTCCAAAACAAGTTTTGAAAGATATTTTTTTTCATAATTCAAAAAGTTTAGAATGTGAAATTAAATAGTTTCTGGACTTATTTCAATGCTGGTGAAGTCCTGAAATGTAAGCAGTTCTCAGGGTATTTTTCTGAAAATATCGGAGCTCATTGTAGTTTATATTTTATTGCTGCTTATATATTTGATTATGATTTAGTATGGTCCACCCATTTCAATGTATTATAGTTTTGTTACTCAAATTACTCAAGTATTAAAAGATTGTGTGTGATTAAATGCACAATTGCCTTCTAAAAAGGGATTGATCATGTATTCATTGAAATAGCACTTCTGTGGGTCTGAAGGATAGCAACTGTTATGTGTCTTAGTAAAAAATTAACAGTAAGCAACCAAAAACAGGAGTGAGGAGGGTTTGGGGTCCCTCTGTGTGATATCCTGTAGAGGTTACCATGGCTTGGAGCTGTATAAGAACAAGGTCCTCCCTTATCAATGGGAAGCAGCTGTGGGGTGAGGTTTCAAGGACTATACAAAGCAAGCAGGCTCTAAATGGCTAAACATTTGCCTACATGGATTGTTTTAAAAATGATTGGGTTTGTAAAAAATTGAGTTTGGTGCCAGCAGGCTTTTGAGCTAAAGGGTCTCAGCCTGCAGGGAAGAAATAAACAACCAGTGGAGAGGGGACCATTGGCTCATTTGTATACCAAACACACTTTGTAAAGCACTTTCACCTGCTGTTCAAAGCACCCCGTGTTTCTCAGTTGGGGTTAATTAACTTGTCCTTCTGCAATTAATTCACAGTATAACCCCTTGAGGGTCTGGGGTATTTCTGGCTGATGGGATAGGAGATTCTTCACTGGTAGGGATTGGATCATCCTGAGTGTTTTAATGGTTTGAATGAAAGGAAAATTTGACAATCAGTGTCAGGAAAACATAGTAGATTATGAAATTTGTCTCTGGTCTCCTTTATTAGAGACTCAAATTTATAGATATTTAAAACAGGTCACAAGAAAACTGGGCCCTTTTTAATTTTCAGGGGGAAAACAGTCAAACAAAAGACACAAAGGTCCCCACATACACAGAGTATCAGAGGTCCAGAGAACCCTGAATTCATGAGCATTTACGCTTTGTTTTTTGCTTATTTATTTTCAATTTTCGGTACTGGAAATTGAGTCCAGAGACATGCTAGACAAATGCTCTACCCTGTAACTCTACGTCACTGACCTCTGAACTTTTGTATCATTTCCCTAACAGCTGGACCAGGGGATACTGCCTGTGGGGGTTAATGCTATATTGGAGATGATACCTTTAACTTTTCTCTATGTCACCCTCCCCAAAGAAAACATTGGCAAGATGCCTTCTTAAAACACTTCGACAGTCTGCAGATTCCAGACATTTTAGACTTGTGTTTGACATGTTATTTTTCAATGTGGCCTTGCTCTCATGGATTACTGTTTGCTAGTACCTCTGGAGTAAACAGCCAATGGGAGTGATTCCAGAGGCTATCACTGAGAACTATGTTGAAGGCTTCTGTGTGGAGCCTGTGCACAGGGCCATGCAATCTGTCATAGAGTTCTGTATTCCAGGCAATGTTCTCTGGAGCTAAGGTGGGGCATACCTTCGAGTTGCCCACTAAGGGGGTAGAGGGAATATGGCATTTACCCACCAATGCCATCCATTACTGACAGGTGCTTTGAGGACATCTATTCTCTGGAATTTATAGCCTGCCTTGTAGTTAAAGCCCATTGGAAGTGTTGAAGGCCAAGGGGAGAATGGATGGATCATGTGCATGTCTGCTATCCTTAGGGATGGGATTTACACACCTTCCCTGCTGTTGGGAGAGCACACAGTCTAGTAAGAAATGGTATATACAGCAAACACCACATTCCCAGCACGAGGATCCTGCTAATGATCATACTCACATTATTTTTCATCTATAATATATAAATCTTGATGAACCTGCCATTCGAGGTCACAGTTTCTCAGTGAACAAAGCTAGAGTGTAGAGGCAGCCCACACACAACATGGAAGAGGACCAAGCCCTGACTCTAGCGACACTGTTAGATAAGAGAGGGATACCCAGCTACCTAAAGTCAACCCTGCTATTTGTTCAGAAACAGTCTGGAAGTTAGGAGAGCCCCAGGCAGACATTTTGGCACTTTGCCTATCCTACTGCTGCTCGGCTGGGGCACAATGAAGAGTATAATGTTTCCAAGGAGTGAATACAGATTTAAAATGCAACACAACAAACAAAGGCCACACCCACCAATCAGAACCTGATTTGGGGCACATTGTTAAGTTGAGGGGAGTCTAATTGACTGTTGTAGCTGGCATTAGATGGGCCCTGTATTGTCTGGTTTGTTTCCCAAGTCACTGGGCTGCGGTTCACATTTTCTTGTCGTGTGTCACACATTCAGTCCTGCATTTTGTATGCTCTAAAGTCTAGTCCAGTCAGAGTGTGAGGGATCCCAAATCCTGTGAGGTGGACAGAGATGCAGGGTTCTGGGCCATGTAGAGCCAGATGTAATTCAGGCTAAGCCAAGGGATTCTCTCTTCCTTTATGAGGGAGCTAGGGCCTATATTGCTCTGTGATCTCTGAGTTAATAATCAGATCACTGCACAGGATTTTAACTCAGCAGCACACAGGGTTTGTGGATAGTAAGTTTCTGATTGTGTGTGTATAAAATTCAATGGGAAAACTGTATTGCTTTCACTAACCAATGAGCAGTATTTAGAGCATTAAACATTTCTTTTGGTTATAAATGAAGGTCATAAAAACAGTGCTATTAGCAGTAGTTGTGACTTTGTCACCAATAGAAACCATTATTTTTCTACTCACAGAAGTCTGTGCAGGCCTTGTAGAATAACACTGATAATTTTCACTTTATCATCATAGCCAACGTGCATGTATCAATCACAGCCAGCATGCATATGTCAGTAAAGAAACACATACGTTGCTGAATCTCAAATTAATAAAAATACTTGGATGGATGAATTATGATTTTCTTTGCAGCCTTCCATGCATTTTATTTTTGTATTTATAAGCACTATTCTGAATAGATGCCCACAGTTTCATCAAACATGCTTTAATGACTCATAAGCAGCACCATTTTTTTTAAGTGATGAGAACAGAAGAAATTATGTGTTAGCATTTTTATTACTGAAACAAAATACCCAAGACAACCTACTATTTCAAGACATGGTCTCACTATGTAGCACAGGCTGGCCCCAGAAATGCATACATTCTTTTTTCTTTGCCTCCCAAGGACTGGGATTACATGTCTAAGCTACCATGCTGGCCCTCCCATGATGTTTTTTGGCATCTCTATAGCTTGATATTGTCTCGTATTCCCCTTTCTTGTCACTTTAGTCCGGGTTTTTCCTAAAGTAACAAAGAACACATGTTTGAGAAACTGCAATAGGATCCCAACCTCTTTGCCTCCTTCGCTCTCCCTGTGCTTTCCCTGTGCTGCAGTTACACTGCTGAGTCTGTCCATTTCCTTTCAGTGGGGTTTCCTTTACCCCGGGCACAGTACTTAGCCCCTTGGGGCCTTCATTGCTTCATGTATAAAAGGTACAATAATGTTATTTTCCTTGTGCAGTTGTTATGTCACTAGACGAGAAATCACCTTTGTATTTAAAATGGAATGTTAATTTAAGGATCATAATCTAGGTGTGCTAATGCATACCTTTAATCCCAGGAGGCTGAGGCGACAAGATTATGAGTTCCCAAATGAGGCTATAAAAGAAAGCAGAAAAACTTAGGACTCAGGAAAATTTTGAAAAGCTGTATACTGGAGTGTTAAGTTCCCAATTATTCAAGAGGAATGGTTTCTGGGACTCAGGAGAATTCTCTGTTCTTTCTGATTGTCCTGTGTATAGTGGGAAGATTCTAGAAGAGCCTACCATATAGTAGTGACCCAGTAAATGCTTGCTGGTGCATCCTGACTTGAAACCTCAGTCCTCTGAAAGAGATATTAAAAGATGAGTTTCTGTGCATCTGACTCATAAATATGGTGAAAAGATTCCCATATTATCTAAAAGGTGTGACTATCAGAAGGTCAGAATTTCCCATTCCCCTCCTTCCCTTCTTCTCCTTTTCTCCCTCCCTCCCTCCCCATCATGTTCCCTTCCCCCCTTTTCTAGGTAGCATTGGATACACAGGGCTATTACATTATTTTGGATTTTAAGAGAGTGAAAATATGACCCAGTTGTGAAGTATTGCGGACATGTTCTCTCTCAGTCTAAATGCCAGCTACATGGATTGTTCAAATGTAAATATTTATCAAGGTGTGCTTCATTTAAAATTATAGTTCAATCTGAGTGTACTAAATGTTCAACTTTTAAAATGTGTAATGAAGTTTAAAGTGTCATGTATGGTGATATTTTATTTGTACTGAAATGTGATTTTAATTTTATGTTAATAAATAAAGTTGCCCTGGGGTCAGAGCTATTAGAGCCATAGCAAGAGCGTGATGGTTAGAAGAGCTAGGTAGATTTCTGTGTGTTCAGGGATACAGCCAGTATTGGAGACATACGCCTTTAAGACCTGGAGGGCGGTACTTACAAGCAGTGATGAGGCAGTCATGTGGTTGGGTTTACAACCAATGAGAAGGCAGAACAGAAAGACTACTTAAACACAGACAAACAGGAAGCAGCTCTCTCTCGGGGAAGCTAGGAGCACTGCAGGAGGTAAGATTTTATCTCTGAGCTCTGACCTCTCGGCTTTCTCTTTTAAAAAAACACATTGGCTCTGTGTTTCTTATTTTAAAAAGACGATTGGTTACATCTACAGTCATGTTTTAAGTGAAGAACAGTGGAAGGTATATAATTCAATACATTTTTACATATACTTGAAACCTAGTCAGTAAGTTACAAACCATTCTCATGAGAAACAAAAGTTCCCTTGAGTTCTTTTTCCTGTGTGTGAACACATTTCTAGTTTCTAGGACCATGGAATTCACTTTACCTGTTCAAGAACTTCATAGAAACAGGGATAATACAATCTGTACTTTTTTTTGCATCAATTTTTATTCAACATAAGGATTCTGAAATTCACTCATTTTGTAACTTGTTGCCATATTTCATTCATCTTTATTGTTGACTAATATTCTACTTTATGAATAGACTGCAGTTTATTCCGTTTTGATAAACATTTTGGTCATTTCCGGATTGAACTATTCTCCATAGTGTCTATGGATATTTTCATTTCAGTCTCATCATGTCCATATGTTTTCATTTTTCTTGGGATGGTATAGGAAGGTAGTGCTGAGATCTAAGGCAAGTGTGCATTTGTCTTCGCTAGGAATCACCAGACTGGTGAATGCTTCAGCAATTTATCAGTTTAACCAGGTTGTCTAACAGTTTCCCTTTAACAGTTTGTTTTCAGCAAGTGCTGAGGTCCACATGTTCTAGTCATTGCCAGTACTTGTTATTTTCAGTCTTCTTGAACATTTTGTGTTTATAAGTATTCTTGTGTATGCTAGATATTAATTAAAAGTTAAAAATGGAAATTAAAATGGTAGTGGCTATATCTAATTCTAAAACATTAGAAATTTAAATAAATTATTCAAGTAAATTTAAAATTGAATGAATTACCCAGATATTTTCATGGCTGCCAGGAATCCAATAACTGAATATGGTCTTGCTAAACTGGTATATACTTACTTGATATTATGTAGAAATATTAAGACTAAGTGAAAGAAAAAAATGACCTATGAAGGTTTTCCTGAGAGACTATTTCATCTCTGCTTTTGCTAGGAGGGCCTAGGATTCAGAGTATTTTCACTAGAGCTCACTGCTTTTTTTTTTCTTTCTCATTTCAGAGCATAAATGTCCAGTGGATGAGCGAGAGCAGTTGGAAGAGACCTTGCCCCTGATTCTGGGTCTCATCTTGGGCCTTGTCATTGTGATAACACTTGTGATCTACCACATCCACCATAAAATGACTGCCAACCAGGTGCAGATCCCCAGAGACCGATCCCAGTATAAGCACATGGGCTAAGGACCATTAGGCAGACAGCCTCCAGGTCCTGCTCCCCCAAACTGGAACAACTGGAACAACAATGGCACTTTTCACCTGTATACAGGATACACCAACATAGCTACACTCCAACAGGCCTGGGCACCTGAGTCTTGCTTGGCCTGTGTCCACGCTTAAACCCAGGGATGGCGGGCAGGTCTTGGGATTTGTGGATTGAATGGTGACTATTGTTCCATGCTGGGGATGAAGTGGGGGTGGGTGGGGTGGGTAATAGACAGCTTTCATGCTCATGGTAGCTTAGCTTTGACTCTCTGACTTTGTAAGTCTACATCACCCAGAAAGGAAGAGATGGCCCTTATATTTAGAAACTGGAAACCCTTCATTTGGGAGACCTCTATTTGCTCCCTTGGCCTCAGCTGGTTTACTTACATGGTTTTCTTTGTTATCTTTCTTTTTATTTAATATGAAAAATTTAAATTTTTTTTCTCTCATATATTATATCCCTACTGCAGTTTCCCTTCCCTCCTTTCTTCCCAGTGTACCCCCCTCCACACACACACCATCCACTCTTCTACCAGGGATATTAACCAAACACAGCATATCAAGTTGCAATAAGACTAGGCACCTCCCCTTATATTTAGACTGAATGAGGCAACCCAGTGGGAGGAAAAGGGTCACAAAAGCAGGCAAAAAAGTCAGAGACAGCTTCCACGCCCACTGTTAGGGGTTCCACAAGAAGATCAAGCTACACAACTGTAACATATATGCAGAGCCTAGGTCAGACCCATGCAGGCTCCCTGATTGTTGGTTCAGTCTCTGTGAGCCCCTATGAGCCCAGGTTAGTTGTTTCTGTGGGTTTTCTTGTGATGTCATGACTCCTCTGGCTCCTGTAATCCTTTCTCCCCCTCTTCTGCAGGATTCCACAAGCTCTACCTAATGTTTGGCTGTGGGTCTCTGCATCTGTTTTCATCAGTTGATGGATGCAGCCTCTCTGATGATGATTATTCTAAGCTCCTGTCTATAAGCATAGCAGAATATTATTAGGAATCACTTCATTGATTTTTTTTTTTTGGCCTATCATGTCTAGTTCTATCCTAGGTGTCTGGGCTACCTAGCCTCTGGTTCCTGGCCCTTCAGGCAATGTTAAGGTTGGGCTCCCTCTTGTGGCATGGGTCTCAAGCTGGACTGGACATTGATTGGCCACCTTTACCACAGCACCTCTTGTAGGCAGGACAAATTGTAGGTTGAAGGTTTTGAGCCTGGGTTGGACTTACATGGTTTCCAATGCACACAAAATGCAACCTCATGCTCCCTGCAGCAAGATCCCTGAACGATCCATGCTTCTGGCTGGCACTCTGCATGTCTAGTGGTTGTTTGGGAATGTTTCACTGCTACCTGCGTCCAGTGACTTTGCAGCACAAGAATCTGTCTAATGTCACTATGCACAGTTGTTTGGAATTCATAATATGTCAGGTCCAAGTGAGGGGACCTAAAGAATCAATCCATGTAAGTTTGCTTTTGAAAATGAATTAAAAAAAACAACAACACTACACTCTGGTCTTTGGCTGTTTTTTTTTTTTTGTTGTTGTTGTTGTGTTTTGTTTTGTTTTGTTTTGTTTTTAAATAAGAAAATGAAACTACAATGGTTTAGTAACCAGAGAAGCAGATTGGATTAATATATATATATATATATATATATATATATATATATATATATATATATATGCAAGAGGATAAACAAAGATGGGGCAGGAATGAAATGAAAAAAATGTTGGTTTTCCCTAGCTGTCTTAGGGTTTTAATTGTTACGAAGAAACACCATGGCGGCCATGGCAACTTTTATAAAGGAAAACATTTAATTGGAGCTGGTTCACAGTTCAGAGGTTTAGTCCATTGTATAGTTAGAATTTTTTTCTTTGGGCCACCACCCAGTTCCCAAATAAAGACACAGAGACTTCTTATTAATTATGAATGCTCAGCCTTAGCTTAGGCTTGTCCCACCAGCTCTTTAAACTTAATTCAACCTGTTTCTATTCATCTACATTTTTTTTCAGGGCTTCTTACTTTTATTTTATTCTGTGTGTCTTACTTTCCTACTTCCTCTATGTCTGTCTGTTTTTCTGGTCCCTGGTACCTCCCTGGCATCTCCTTTTCTTTCTTCCCTGAGACTGAATTCTTCTTCTTAGTTACTCTTCCTGCCCGGAAGTACTACCTATACCTCCTTCCTTGCTATTGACTATTCAGCTTTTTATTGGACCAATCAGGTGCCTTAGACAGGCAAGGTAAAACAGCAACACATCTTTACACAATTAAACAAATGTAACATACCTTTACATAGTTAAGGAATTGCAATACATCTTTGCAGAGTTAAATAAATATTCCACAACATTTTCCCCTCTTTGTCTAAATAAAAAGAAAGGTTTTAGCTTTAACATAGTAAGACAATATACATTAAGAACAATTAGCAGGTAAAAATTACATTTACAATATTCAGTCCGTTTGCATTTGACAAATTCAGAGAAAATATTTCATTAAATATCCTGTCTTCATAAGTCCAAAGTTATGTACCTGATTTACTTTCTATCCTAACTTGTATTACCAACCCAAAATTATCTTTTTAGACTTCAAAACACTTTCTTTGATAAACAATTTAAACTTTTATGTTTCTCAACCTTATAAACTTTACATCTCTTATGTAAGTTTCTTTTCTGAATTTGGTATAACTATAACTATCTCATCTTCAACTCCACCAGAGACTTGAATAGGATAAAATATTACCTAAGTGAATAAACAGGAAATATAGAACAAGCAACTTCCAAGACTATAGAAATGACAAAGACATATAGCTGCCTGGAAAATCACCTGAGGTTCCTCTGCAACATTGAGGCATCCATCTTCAGCCTACAGGCCTAGAATATCTGACAGACTTTTATGTGAAGCAGGAATTTTGAAAGACTGTTCCACCTTGTCTTGGCAAAGTTTGGCAGTCTTTATGTCCTGTGTGTCCAGTTTGTACAGTAAACTGTCAGCAGTCAAGGTAAGGGAAGTTTCTTTTCCAAATGGCTAGCTTTGCCACAATGAAAGCAAACTCCAAATGGAGGTTCTTTCATGCTCATCATCCTTTTTTGAAGTAGATTGGTGCTGTCAGAAACAGACATTTCCCACTGTCACGAAAAGCCTTAGCTTATTAAATATCTTAAGTGTCATATTCTGTAGGTTTCTGAAGCATTTGAAGATTACCTATCTATCTAAAATATATCTATTTAACCTTGAAAACATACCTAGCATGACTACAAGTTTGATTGTTATAGATGACTAACTACTAAACTGCATTTCTTAATTATCTTAAACAGTTTGTAATAATAGCTTTCAAAGTTTAGAACTTTATATTACATTTTAAATGAGCTGCCTAGGTAGTACAATATCTTAAATAAGAGTAGAAACATATATACAATATAGCAAAAATAACCTTAAATTTGTATCAATATACAAAAATCCATATCAATGTAAAATATTTGAGATGAATAGTTGTCTTTTTATCCTATATCCCAACTAAATAATGACAAGCATCCATAAATGACCAAAAACCACCCACGCCACCTTTTTGGAATGTGTGTTGTGTTCTCTAGATTGCTCAGTGTTGTCTGGGGGTTACAGTATCCCAAGGGGACCTTGAGAAAATTGAGATAATGATCAAGTCCTAAGAAAACCAGCTTTATCTTTTGTTGTGCAGTCTCTGTGTAATGAGAAAGTACAAGGCTTATCTGAAGTCCTGGCTAGAGTAGTCTGTGAGGCTGGACCATCTCATCCAGCAGCTTTAAAGTTGTTCTGAATTCAGAACTCTGAGGAAACTGCAACAGAAATTGTATTCCGAAAGACTGGATCACCTGTGGTATCTGGTCCCTTTGCTTTGAAAACATAAATTTCTAAAAGTAACATACATATCTGCGTTAACACAAGTATGGACTGTGCATTGTACACAAGCCAGACAAAGATGATGTTTTTGTTTTATGTTTGAGCAGGTAAAAGATATCTGTCAACTTTTTAATTTTGTTTGGACTGTATAACCAAACCCCATCTATGCCACATGAAAGGATGCATGTAATAATAAGTCATAAGGACTCTGTAACCAACAAGAGTTATCATGTCTCATCTAGTCTGAGATGTTCCCATGTCAAGAGATCAGCATATATGTCACCTGCCTTGTAGTGTTTCTAGGTTTATACCTTTATTTCTTTAGCCAAGATTTTGAGGGGGTCTCCCCTAATCAAATATGATCTCTATTAATTTTGAAGGAATCCATAGCTTTCTATTTCCTGAGGGAACAAATTTTCTGAATTCTATTTTAAAGTTAAGACATCCTTAAAGTGTCTAGGCTGATTTAATTCAGCAGTTTCTTTTACAATCCCATGTCTCTCAGCAGCTGCTGTTCACTCATCAGCATTCAAAAAACTCAAAGTCAATCAAACACCATATAGGATCCAAACTCCTCATGCATTTCCCATCTTTATGTGGCTTATTCTTTTTATATTACTTTACTCTTTCTTTAAAGACTCTACTTAATTATTTTTAAACTACTTATTTTTTCCTATGAGCATCTATACCCATTTTCTTTTCTTTCTTAAGCACCTATGTACACTATAATCTGTTTAAGGTGTTTTTCAGTCTGCTCTTGTTTTACTGTATACCTGTAGCATTCTCTAACCACATGAGCCAAACATTAAACTGTTAAGTGGCAGCTAGGCCCTCTGCCCTGGGTTCTGGCAGTTGGCTCTGCTCCCTTCTTGGGTCCATGAGAGCTGAACCTTAAGCTCACAGGCCTGTCTGAGTGCTGCATTTAACTGGGAGCTGTGTTTAACCAAGAGCTGCATTGAACTGCCCCAGATCTAGGAAGTTGATAGCCACACTGTGGCAGGCATTTTTACTTAGCTTGTTGTTTCTACTTGGTGTGCCAGCTGCTCAAGTTGGCACACCAGCTGCATAGCAGCTTCTCTTACAGGAGCCACATCCGTTTATTTGTATTTTTTCTTCAGCTCTCTCAGGCCCTATCTGGAAATTTGGTCCCCACATTGGGCGCCATTTGTAGTTGTAAGTTTTTCTTTGGGCCACCAACCAGCTTCCAAATAAAGACACAGAGACTTCTTATTAACTATGAATTCTTGACCTTAGATTAGACTTGTCCAAATAGCTCTTTTAACGTAATTTGACCTGTTTTTATTCATCTACATTTTGCCTTGGAGCTTTTTTCATTCTATGTGTCTTACTTTCCTGCTTCCTCCATCTCTGTCTGTCTGACCCGTGGCATCTCCCTAGTGTCTCTTTTTCTTTCTTCCCCAAGTCTAAATTCCTCCTCCTACTTACTCTTCCTATGCAGAGGTCCCACTTATACCTCCTCCCTCACTATTGGCCATTCAGCTTTTTGTTGGACAAATCAGGTGCCTTAGATAGGCAAAGTAAAACAGCA